AAATCAGGCGAGGGTGCGAACACACCGGAGGCACTTACTTGCGGGCCACCTGTTGTAGGTAATTCGAGCACCCCGACGACGAGTGCTCAATGGTCGTTTTAAGTAGCCTTCAACGACGGCGGCCGCGCGTTTTCAGCTCGCGTCCCTTTGCTTCGATCTCATCGACTCGGAATTCTCGTCAGCTGCGAAGAGAAATTCACTGTGTTCGGTGAACAGGCGCACACATACACCTAACCACGGAAATGTTCCTTTTCCTCGAATGCGTCGCGTTTCTTCTGAGTTCGACTCGCTTTCATTCGTCCCTACGTCGTAAAACGCGATAAACCTTCTCCAGAAACGAAACGAGTTTCTTATTTATTTTATTTTATTTTTTCGATATCTATTTAAAAAGCTTGTGTGTCTCAGTTTGAAAGATTCGATCGAAATTTATTTATTCTTCTCAATTATCGAACAGATAAACCTGTGGACGTTGCACGATGTGATTTTCCGTAAACATCCACAAAAATGTAAACGAGGTAAAATAGGAGAGAATGTAATCTAATCTAAGAAATATATATAATATAAAAATCCAATATAAAATATTGGAGAGTTGAAATATCTGATTCTGCATGTATGCACGATTTAAGAATCTTTAAGAAACCTTTTTGGTTTTATTCTAATTTATTCCCGCGAAAATCGAGCGTGAAACGAAAGCGGCGGGGTAAATTCCGCGGGAAATTTGAATAGAGGAAATTATTCAAGTATCGGAAGACAATGGCAATTGTTAAGCGAGGCGAGAGAATAATTGCTCGCCCATCGATGAAACGCATTTACGTTCCGATATGCGTTAAACGCACTTCTCGTTATATGGATGGTCAATGACACTGTAATCTTGATTACCGTGCGTCGGTAATCGCGTTTGCAAATTAACAAATCAGGCCCGGTTATCAATTTAACTTTTAATCAAGGACAATAGCGCGCTTGTTATGCGTGTGGGTGTGTGTGTATGCTACGGTCCAACTCGCGCAACACAAGCGTGCGTAACCTTTGTTGCATTGATACGCGGTCTCGTCGTTTCACGCGGTCAGATTTCGGTTTCGACGAGGGAACGGAAAATAATTGGGGAGGGGAGGGAGCTTTTGTGAGATTCCCTTTGTGCTACCAAACGGCGGTACTTCGTTAAAAGTATCGGAATAATTTAAATTGTTGGTAAACTTTTCGTTCAATCCAGAAAAGTTCCATTTTTTCCCTAAATATCCCTGATCGTGGAAACAAGTTTTTAACAATTAAAACGATTCGAATTCATCGAAATATTAATCGTTGTTTGTAACTTTTAAATTTTAAAATTACAGAAAAAAAACTTCCTCTGGCTCTTTCTCGTTGTAAAAAATTTGAAGGCGGGACGATTTCAAAATAACAAAACGATAAAATTTCAGAATATAATACATTTTCTTCGATCTTCCAACGTTCGAGCAAATTCGATTTCGATCCGTGAAGAAGGATCTACAAAACGCATCCACGGATCTCCAACCGATCGATCGGTCGATCGATCCTCGAATAGGGTAGACCAATATAAGGCGCGATTCAAAGAGAAGGAAGAGCAAGCGCCGGATCCAGCGGAGATTCCAAAGTCTCTGCCGAAACGTGATCACTGCATTTTTTATCGAGCCCCGGGCATCGCGGGATGTTTCTCTGGCCCTCCTCGCATCGAAAGTCCGCGCGCATTTTATCACCCGGTCGCTGCAGGCGTTACACCTGCAGATTCTCTTTCTCCTTTTTTTTTTTCTTTTTTTTTTTTTTTTGCGAACCATTTCTTCGAACGAGCGTGTTCCTCCGCCAGGATCCTCCACCTACCCACCAGGAAGACGAAATTTTTGGAAATTCGCCCTGGTGTGTCCAGATCCGAGTGTGGGGATGAAAATTTAAATGGGAAGAAATCTTGTGTGAACTCTTTTTTGTGAAATGAATAAATATATAATTATTGATTATTACGTAGCTTGAATTGTCAAATTGTTATTTTCGAAATTGAAGTTCGTAGATGTTGAAATAATAAGATATTTAAATATATGTTGGAAGATTGATAATCTTTTTGTCGGAGTTTTGCGGAACGAATTTGTATCTTTTTAATATTATTATTCGTTTAAATAAAATTATTATCAATTTTATGAGATCCTATCTAAATATACACAGGTTTTAGATGTCCAAACGACTTCGTCTCAATGAAAGTTACGTGTACGAATTACATAACAGTAATACGAGAATTTATTCGTTATTTCCAACGATTCTAGAAATTGAAAAACCGATTTGCAAATCTTCGAAGAGATTCACGAATAAATCGAAGCTATTTCTCGTTTCATACGTACGAAAACAAAAAAAAAAAAAAATAATTTAAATTCACGGTGGAAATCGCAGCGTGAGATCGCGAACAGTCTCGAGGCGAGATTAGCACAGGAATTAAACCGACTTCTCCCCCTTAAAGTATCTCGAAATACCGCCACGGCAATTTACGCCTCGCAATTAACCCTTCAGGTTACAACTTTCTTACCCCCGGTCCGCCACTGAAATTTCTTTCATGCCGGATCAACGCCGGATTCCCCGCCCTTATTCAGATCCCAGAATTACACCTTAATCGCGGTGATACCTCGATTAAAGTAACGGACAGCGGCTGGAGAAATCTTCGTTCATCACCCCCCGGGGCAGCTTCGAAAACAGAAGCAAGAACTGGCGGAAACGCAAATTGCATCCACCACTTTGATATATTATATCGCAACTTGGGATAATTGGGCCAATTGCCGCGTCCTATTAATCCGCGTATCGTGTTTTCTGGGAATTCTCGAGTGCTTTTACAACTTTAGAATTTCTTTTCTTCTTTTCAACGAGCGTTGATTCCATCGTTTGGACGATAAATTGAAACGAATGAATTTTTTCTCGTGCTAAATTTCATCCCTCTCGAGAAACAATATTCTTCGACGAAGAAGGAAACGAAGAACGTAACGTTTGCGAACAACGTTGGAAAATGGGAAATTATGAGATAGGGAGGGAGAGAAAAAGAGAAGAAAACGTAACGAAAACCTGAGTGAGTGAAAAGTCAAATCTAAAGAGAGGAAAAAGGAAAGAAGAGTTGAGGAAAGAAAGGAAGAAAATTAAAATAAGAAGGGGAAAAAGCGAAGAGGAAATGAGGGAGAAATAAGAGAGAGAGAGAGAGAGAGAGCAGGGAAAGAAGATAAATCGTGGAAGGTACATTCAGTGGCCAATAAATCGTGGGCCCGAGGTTACCAAGATTGCTACGTGTCACATTCTTGTGGAAAATTGGACCGGTGGAAGTGCTTTAAAGCCAGGCAAATTCGCGTCGCGAATGGACACGTACGTGGTGCACGTGCTCGACCACCCAACAATTCCGAAAAAAATTCCCTGGAAAATACCATTTCCCTCGTTCTTCCCCCTTTTAAAATCCTCTATCACCCCCTGGAATCGTGTTATTTATTATCTCTCGCTCTCCCCTTTTCCTTTTTTCTTTTCTTCTTTTTAATTTATTATTATTATTATTTTCGTGGAATGTTATTCACGACGCGACGATTTTTTTTATCGCTTGTTTTTAAACGATTATAAAAATATATAAGTAGCGAAAATCAAATAACGTTTTATCATTCGCTCCAACATCGCTTATCCTGTTTTTAATTCTTCATGATTCTAATTAATTGATTACGTATTTATAATTATTGCACTCTTCTCTTTTTATTCTTATTTAAAACGTGTTAAAATTAGAACTTGCAATTCGTACAATTATACTCTTCGTAGAAGCACTATCCATCAAATTTTATTCTCTTATTCGATATCCCACTCGTCCATTCAACTCTATCACAAGATACTTAATCAGAGAGATAAGTCAGGCAGAGAAATATCTCCCTGGATATGTATTAAAAATATTAACAAGATCGTTTTTTTCCCCCATGGAACGTTTAAAGATCGAAAATTCGTAACGGGATAAGAACTGTTTCAACTCCCGCGGGATTATCGGGGAACGAATCGCGAGCTACGAGTTAATGCCGTGTTCCACGCTCCCCCTTGGAAAATACAGTTAACTTAACGAGCTTGAATCAAGCAATGCGACCAAAAGAGAAGGAGCCAAGCTCTCTCTTTGATCGGTATCGAAGTAAGGAGTAATAACCCGCTTAAAATCGCAATTTGCAAGAGTTTGAACGCCTTTGCGCGAAATAAGAAACTGGTCAAAGATGGTGAAGAAAGAGAGAGAAAAGGAGCTTTCTATACTTTCTATATTTTTTTCTTTTTCCCCTCCAATCGTTGTTCGGATAAAAGCAGGCGAAGAGTCGCGTGAAATGAAGTGTTAATCGTCGTGAATTAGCATCGAGATCGGGCGTGAAAATGGACGAAATGGTAATATATGCGGAAACACCGCCTTAAATACCTTTACAGTTTAATCAAGTTGGACTTGGAGTTGGACCCGCGGTGTAATTTATTCGAGAGGATGTTTAATTTAAGTCGAGGGCACGGTTTAACGCGGGGATCACGACGATGAAAACGCGAGTTGCTTATAATTCCTCTTACGAAGAAGTTATCTTCGTTGCAACGAAGATTTTTCACGGGTGAAACGATCGATTCCCCCCTTTTTCTAAAGAAAGCAATGATCATCTTTGAATAAATTTGAGAATAAAATTTCCTTACGTTTTCGAACCGATCGATTCGGGATTAATCGTTCGATAGTTAAAAGAAATTCGATACTTTGATTATTCATATTCTTGTTCCATTCCTTTTAAATTTATGTTATTTATTTCTCTTTTATCTATAGAATTGCATCGAAGATAAAAATAAAAAGAATCGAATCCCCTTCTCCCTTAAATATCACATCGACTCTAAAGAATACTTTAATCGCAAAGAAAGGAGGCTTATATATATATCAAAATAAAAAATAATAAATACCGAACTTTCTCTCACAAAATCGGCCAACCAATCACCAATTTCGTCCACGGTACTTCCGATCGCGATCTACTTTACCATCGGCCGATGGAGAAGCCCCTCCCCCCGTTCCTAGAAACTCGAGCGCGACCCCCTTTTCTCCCCCTCTGCCCCACCACCGCGACGCTTAATTAGATTCACCGAGACGTCGGATAAGATCTCATTAAAATTCCATCGCGGCATCTGTTTCACCGGCAACGTTCGAACACGCTCGCCTACCTTCATTCGT